CTACTTTGTTTTGGTGTGCTTGTCTGAGGAAAGTCATGCTGCTTCTAGGATTGGGGGGGAGGGGGTGGCGGTGGGTATTCTTCTTCCAAGGGCCCCAGGGTGTCTGGCCAGGGGGATGTGGAAGCTGTTTGGTGTCTGTGACATCCTGTGTCCCCTATTTCAGTAACATTTAGCTGGTGTGAGTGAGTTGTAGCATGCACAGACTCCTTTTATCTCATATAAACACTTCTTGGGAGGCTTAGATGTTCCCATCCCCTCATCTTGGTTTGGGACCAAGGAAGCATCCTGAAGGTGCAGACCCCTGAGTTGAGAGTCCTATAGCGCACCCTCTTAATTTTCAGCCCTTTCAAAGCAATGCAGTTGTTCCCAAATTGGATCAAATTTAAAAATAATTTCCTGGTCCCCTTTTACCCTAAATCCTTGCACACATCAAGGATTGTTGAGGGTTTAGATACAAGCATGTTGTTAATTCTTCTAGCAAAACACTCATCGTCAAAACACATTTCTAGAAGTCTGTTTTGATCTAAACCCGTGTTGCCCATCCCAAACCAGCTGTTGGAAATTTTGGGGCTGCGCACAGGAGCTTCAGCATTAGGTATGTGGGTCCTGGGGAGCAGTCTGGCCCGAAGGGGTGGTTTGTTCCCCATGGCTTCAGCCACGTGGAGGACCACCACTGTCTTATTTCTCACCACAGCAAATGGCACTGCTTGCACAGCGCATCCCCTCCTCCCTGCAGCCGGGCAGGGGGTGGAAGTATTCCCGAACAGCTGCTTCTCCATGGAAACCTCTCTGTGAGTATGCTGTGGGCTGGCTTGGTTTATTCCAAAGAGTTTGTTATTTTAAAGTGCTTATCTATAAACTTTTCTGGTTCTGAGAGACAAGCAGTGGAGAAGTGGCTGGTGCCAGGAGAAGATTGCTCTGAAGACGCAGATGTGCGATGTTCCTCCATACATTAAATGGCTGAAGACCATGGGGGCCTCTGGCTGGGAAGGGAAGGTGAAGCGATGATTCCTTGCCCAAGTCAAATGTGATTTCTAAGTAGCAGCCGCCACCTCTGCTCCTGTGCCATTGGGCTGATGAGCAGTGGTGGAACATCTTGCAGGGCATGGCTTGCTCAAAGCAAAGCAGTCACCAGGGAGGGGACAGCCTGGTTGGGATGTGGTGGGACTGGTGGTGTCCTGCTGCCCAGAAGCCTCCCTTCATCCTGACAACCACATGGCCCTGCTTGATGTTGACTGTGGCCAGCAGCCAGCTTTCTCCTGTTTCCTCTGGCTTGGTCAGGCACACTGACCTGGGAAGTGAGAGGAAAAGGAAGAGGGCAGTGATGGCTCCTGGGCACCCATGTGCCTTACCAGGAGGGACTCACCACCACAGCCCTTTCCTCTGCTGTTAAATATATCCAGGGACCTGCCCCCTCGTGTGGGAGCAGGGGGCTGCTAGAAAGCAGATGCCCAACAGCCTCCACTCCCAAAACTATGTTGCCAAAAAAAAAAAAAAGCATCACTTGCTCGTGGAGGGCTGGCTGGAGGCTGCACAAGTGGATTGCTTCACCCCTGTGCAGCCACCACGTTAAAAAGGATCCCCCAAAGCTGGTGATGCCAGAACTGAAAACATCTGGGTCTGTGACAATGTGGTGCAGGGGGCAATTCTGAAGAACAAACCTTGTTTAGTCTAGGAAAGTGATGACACTAGGGCAAGCACTGAGTGCATAAGGCGTGGTTACAAGGATAATTCCTTCTTCCTTCCGGACTCAAATCTGGTGCTACCCATTTTCCAGAGAAGTACTGATACCGTTGGCCCCATTTATTTATTTTTTTTTCCCAGCTGCTGCATTCCCCATCCCCACCCAAGCAGGCACAGGAGCCCATTGCTGAGGCTTGGGGCAGCTCCTGGCACTGTCTTGCCCTTTGCCCCTGGGGACAGGCAGGGCACCGTGGCTGCCGGCTGGAGCATGGAGCCAACAATGCTGTGTGAGTGCCTGGAGGCTCCCAAAGGAGACGACCAGAGATGCTAACTTGGTGGCAGGAGCTGATGTCCAAAAGGCAGTGAGGGGGGAATGTGTCCCTGCTAGGCGGGAGGGGAACCTGCACACCCCATCTGAAGCACCCGTGGGTAAAGGGGAAAAGCTGGTTCCTAGCACATTGGCATCGTATTAGTCACCGACACAAGGTTCAAGGCTGGGTGTCTTATCTCAACCCTTATCCAAGCCAGCGATAGCAGAGCTGAGTGCTAGAATCCATGTGGTGCAAGGAAAGCAAAGCCTCATGCTGTGACTGGTGCAGCTGACTGGGATGGTTTGCTTTGGGGGAGATGCTGAGGGGGGGGGTTGGTTAAAGCTCCGAAGGTATGCGCGCTTGTTCACCCTCTTGCAGAAAGTGAGGAAAACCCCAAGGAGCAAATTAATACCAACCAAAATATGCAGTTATGTGTTGGCGCCTGTCCTAAGCTGTGATCAAGGGTGGAATAACAGCTGAATTTGGGAGAGGATCGGCCATGGATGTGGCTAACAGCTAGATGTTGGAGTGGTGGTGGTGGGGAGGGAGCCCAGCTCACAAACTGGGACAGCTGGGCCACATGGCCCCAGCATGCTGCACCAGGCCAGGCATTGGTAGCCCTGCAATGAGGCTGTTTGAAGATAAGGAAGAGAAATCTTGGGGCTACTGGATTTTGGAGACGGACACTATTGTCGTAACCCCTTTTCTCTTGGCCACCGTGCCTGTATTGGGTGGAGGTGCTGGTCACCACCAGGGAGGTGGCATGGGACAGGGAGGGGGTGGCAGCTGTGGGCACATTGCCTGCAGGCATAGTTCAAGATGAGGCTGTTTCTCAGGATCTTGTGGTTTTGGGGGGATCCCTGTTGCTGCCCCATCCCCTTGGGGTTGCTAGTACAGACTCAAGAGACCAGCAGCAAAGACAGCTCCTTTCTGGAGAGCTCTCCTGCTGCAAGTGACACACACACAGGGGGGTCCCAGGGCAGGAAAAAGGCTTTTCCAGAGTTGTTTGAAGTGGAGACTTCCTCATCTGTCCAAAATATGATGTGTTTCAGAAGCAAAAAGCAAAACAAGGCCTGTTGTTCCAGACCTCCCCAGGCTTTCCAGCCTGGGTCTGTCCCAGGTTGCCAGCCACAGTCCGTTCCCAGTCTCAGGGCATCGCTCTCGCGTGGGAGCAACGAGCTGCAGCCCCAGGGGACTCAGTGTGAGAATGTCTCTGGGAAAACACAAAGATCTTGGGACTGCAGCGCAACATCTGCCTCCACGTGCCAGCAGCAAATATGCCCTACATCCAAAGCTAAAGCAGAGCTGCAAACACAGTGGTTTCTCTCTGCTGGAGGCTGGCTACAAGTGGGTTTATCCCTTCGTGGGGAGCAAACCTACTGCCTTTGACCTTCACCATCAGCCTCCTGTCCCCTGATGCCCAAGCAGGGACACACAGTGCTCAGCCTGCAGCAGAGCTCCTGCCAAGGGCGCTTCTTTAGAGGCCAAGCCAATGACGCTCGCATGCCTCAGCCTCGTTGTTTTGGATCCCCTGGCCTCTTGGCTGCCATTTCTCTTTTGCAAAGGAGCCCACTGAAGGGTGGGGAGCACCCTGGCCCCTGCCCTGGGAGCCTGGAGGAGGCGGGGACTGCTTGACGGGGGGGTGGCCAGTGGCCAGGATGATGAGATGTGGTCTTTGGAGACTTCCTCCTCCATCCCTCCTTAAGGACAACCAGCATGTCTTCTTCCCATCCCCTTTCTGTCCTGGATCTCTTTTCCCATCTTCCCCCTTGCCCACCCTTCCTCTCTTGCTTTGAGCTGCAGAGAAGGGTGTTTAGAAAGCAATGAGCTGGAAGTTAATCTAAGAAAGCTCCTCCCTGCTGTGCTATCCCCTCTTTAGGTGGCCCAAGCCAGCTCCTGGCTCATCCCCAGCCATTTCTGCCCTCGGGGCAGTGAAGACAAGAGGGGTGTCATGCTCCAAATCTTGCTATGGGCAAAAGGGAAATGCAGCCAAGAATTTATGATGAACATAACCAAAGTCTAAGCAGTCCACGAGCAGTTTCTATCTCAGATCTAGATTGCAAAAAAAAAGGAAAATAAAGCCATGAATCCTGTTGGACAGTACTAGTGATACAGCTCTATGTTTCTTTAGCTGCTCCTTGGGGCGCGGTTTCTCGCTTTAGGGTCCCCCATGTCCACCCTGCCCCTCGCCCAGCATCCCCACGCTCCTGTATCCCTCAGGGCAGCATCCTTATGGGAGAGCGGTGAAGGTGTTCATCTGCTCAGGCAGATGGGCTGTTACAGCCGTCCGTACTTCATGTCTTCTACAAAGCTGAGGAAATGAGAAACGAAGCGTCGCCACTGGAAAAATGACTTAATTTTGAGTCAAACCAAAGCTGCAGGCATCTTGAAACGAGCTCAAGAGGCACAAACCCCACCAGCCTCTCTCTAGAGGCCTTGCAAACTCAGTGCACGATCTGGGGTCTGACGCAGGGGTTGGCAACCCCGATAAGCAACTGCAGTCCCCCCTGTGGCTGCCAACCCCCACCCTGCGATGGATCCGCAGCCCCATGTCAATGCTGCTGGGGGGAAAATGAGAGCAACCAACCGCCCTGTGAGAGCTGATGGGTGGTTTTATTACCACAGAGGTGTGACATCCTCCCTCCCCAGCATTTTATCCCGCTGGAACAGGGATAAATGAGGGTTTCAATGCCATCCTTTTAACCCTTTATTGTCTGTTTCTCCTACCACTTTCTCCCCCCACCCCTCTTCCCCATTTTTTCCAGCCATGCCAAGCATCTTTCTGCATTCTCAGTACATTGTGCCAACCCAGCATGGGGACTGTCCCCGGGGCAGGGTGCTGCTGCTGGGGGTGTCAACCCAGATGGGGCCAAGCAGGGAAGCCACTGGTGTCCTTTGGGAGCAAAGCCTGTGGTGCTGGGAGACGGCTCAGTCCCTGCCTCCGCAGGGTGATGGTGGGTCCACACCCTGCCTCCATGGGGTGACGTGGTACAGCTGCCAGCTCTGCTAGCAGCTCCCTCCTGTGCACAAGAAGATCCCCACGGCTGTGCCCAGCAAGGCAATGGTCCCCAGGATCAGGCCTAGCACCAGTGGGGCGCGTGACCAGCTGCTCTGTTTTCCTACAAGAGGCAAAAGGAATGGAGGTGATGACTGGGGTCATTCCCACCATGCCACCATGTCCACCACCACCAGCCCCAGCACGGACCTGTCCCAGCGCTCTGAGCCTGCAGGATGCTGACACAGGTGGTGTTGAGGAAAAGCTGGAGGTCCCGCGTGGTCTTGGGGTACTTCATCAGCTCCCTCTCGGCAAAAGTGGCCACTGCGTCACTGCCAGGCCAGTGCCGCTCCCAGGTGGCGTTGGCGACATGGAAGCTGAGGAAAGCCGTCCCGTTGAGGGTCACCTCATAGAAGCTGTGGGCCGTGCCGTTGGGGAAGAGGCTGCAGCCCAGACGGCAGCACAGGCTCTGGGTGTCTGCAGGGACAGAAGGAGGGGGTCAGCGTCAGCATGCTCCCACACGCGGCAGCCCATCGCCATCACCAGCATCGAGCTATGCACTGAGTTTGCAAGACCTCAGTCTCATACCATCTGACCCACCCACAGCTTTGGTTTCACTCAGTTTAGCTGTAGCGGTGACTTTTCCAACGACTGGGCAGCCATGCTTATTTTTCCCTTCCTTATCTGTGCACAGTACGGTTTTACAGAGACAGGAGGTTTTTCGGCATGGAGTGAGCTATCCATCGCCCTCACAGAAGGATGCAGCACAGGGAGCGTGGGGACACCAGGTGAGGGGAGGTGAGGGGCTCACACCAGAGACCCCGAGGTGAGACAGTGCTCCCCAAGCACCAGGGAAAGAAATGCAGAGCTGGGGCAAAACTGCTTTGGGGATAACAAAGAAAATGACGGTAAAACACACCCTGGGCAGGAACATCAGAGATAGAGTGGGCTTGCAGAGCAACACAAGAGGGAACATGAAACCATTGCCACCAGTATCCTACACCTCACATGAAAGCTGTGCGGTGCAGGCAGCATGCATGCAGGGTGCAGGTGGGGTGCAGGCAGGGTGCATGCAGGGTGAAGGCAGGATCCATGCAGGGTGACAGCCAGGTGCAGGCAGGGTGCCTACACCTCGTCGTGCCCCCTCAGGCTGCAGCCCCCAGCATTTTTCCAGAGGGGCAGCAGGAGGTTGAGCATCACCCTTTCCCCAGGCTGGGCTCCAGGTAAGAAATTCCCATCTCTGCAGAAGGACTCCTTTTGCCCAGAACGAGGTTTTACACGTGGCCGGGTCCACGTCTCTTTGCTCAGCTGTCCCCAGGGAGCCCTCCCCATGGCCAGGCAGTGCAGGGGGGGGCTCCCCTTCCCCAGTGGGACCCGTCCCCCCACCGGGCCATGCATCCCAATCCCTGTGTCCCCTCGGGGTACCACTCACAGTTGATGGGTCTCTCCTTGTTGAAGAACATCACCAGCTGGCTGAAGTAGAGCAGATAGGTATCAACGTCCTGCAGCCGCCTGGCCCAGGCATCTGGGGGCTCCAGTGGCAGCACTTGGGTGACATTAAGCCCCTCCAGGAGATGGCTGAGCTGCCCGTCCAGGCTGGCGTTCCCCCAGAATTCGGAGCTGCCTTTGGAGATGCGGGTCCATTGCAGCATGGTGAAGGTGAGAGGGGCTGCGAGAGACACCGGACATCACCCACCGCCCTGTCCCCTCCCCGTAAGCTCTGTGTGTGTGTGTCCCATGCCAACCCCAAGTCTCTCCAACCCCACTGCCACTGTGTCATTGCCTTACCCGCCTGGTCCGCCCCGCAGCCCAGGGCCCCGCAGAGCAGCAGCAACCCGAGCATCGTGTGGGGACAGGGATGTGGACAGAATGGTGGCCTCACAGCTGGCCTGGAGGGGAGTTAAGCAGGACCGGAGAGGTGGGGCTGCAGGAGGAGGAGAGTGGGAGTCCAGCCAAGTCTCTCCCATTTCCTTAGCCTGAGCCACCCACACCCCTTCCCTGCTGGATATGCCAGGGGTGCCTGGCTGCAGCACCCAAGGATGAGGCTTCGAGCTCAACCCAAGGCCTGCAGGACCATACAGCACCGCTCCGGCTGGTGGAGGAGCCAGCGGCCAACGCCTGCCTCAGTTTCCCCACCCATTGGCTGGGCAGGGGCCCCAAACCCGCTCGCCCTGGGCGATACGGGAGGCTGGTGACAACACAGTGGAGGGGAACCCCTCCAGGAGGAGAACGGAGGGATGGAGGGGAGCAGCCTCGCAGCACCACGTCGGGGCCTGGGGTGGACATCCAGCGCCCGTGCTCCCTGGTATGACAGGACCCCCACCCCCGCAACGCTGCAACCCTGGGGATGCGGCATCCCTGCAGCCCCCGGAACGGGCTGTGTGGGGGCTGGAGACCAAGAAACTCCTCCCGGCTGGGCTCGCGCCGTGTATTTTGTTGTTTGGGTTTTTTTTTAATTACACCGAAAATAATTATAGATTAAACTTTTTTAAAATAGAAAATGGATGTTAAAATAGCCAGCTCGCCCCGCTGGCACAGCCTGGGGCGGTATGGCACAGTTTGGCGTGGTATG